CCGATGATGGACCATCAGCCTGGTATGTCAGGGCCTTAATGCTCTCCACATACACTCCACTCTACCTGTTAATGTTCTAGCGTGATCTGACTGTGATGATCACTCATTAATGATTATGTTGAACTGCATTGCCAGGACTAGAGGTGGTACCCCTACCACCAGCCAACTATTAGCATTAGATCTATGTTTTTTTGTTGGTTTTTCTTTCTGGAATTTTTTTGTGGGTTGGGAGTGGAGGGGATTTTAAGGCGGCTGCCCCAGTTTGCCTTGAGGAAAAGCCACCACTGTGCATTTTATTCAGTAACTGTTTTCAGTGTAAAATGAGTTGTACAGCTGTAGACAGTTGCACTGTTGAACTCGTCTAGTTGGCAAAGTTGCTCTGACGTGACCTAATTTTGTCTGAGCTTTAGAATCTATCACATCAAAATCACCAGTGTAATAATAGCTATGGTTTGCACTGATTATGATAGTACCCAAATCCTTTTCCCAAATCTCTTCCCTCACATCCTCCACATCCTCCAGGCCTAAAAACACAGACAGAGGGCACTAGAGAACACCTTCTGCTGAAATGCCACTGCATGCCAAAGCTTGAATTGACTGTTGCCATCTGCAGCCTTAAGCAGGGAACTGGCCTCCAAATATCACTATTAAGGACTAAAGCAACATTATATGAATTTGTACAAAAGGAGACTGCGACTAGGACAAGGAGACTAGTCTGTTAATGCCAATATATACACTGAAAATTAGAATTTACTTTTATAGTCGCCAAATCTAGACAGGCTTGAGCAAATTAACAAAATATGGTTAAAATATGCTTAATCAGCTTTCACCCATCTCTGAAAATCTCCATGTTTAATACTCTAATCCAGTACTCAACGGTGAAATAGACAGTACTCAATAGTGAACACACTTACTGGATCAATATGCTGCTCTATGCTGGTCTGGCTCTATGCAAACAAAAGCCGTTCTCTGACTGTCAAGGAAGCAGATTTTAAAGTGATTTATGATGAAGCCTGAAGACTAGAAATTAAAGCACTGCATTAAGAAATCTTAATGATGTTTAATGGGTTTGCCTAATTGCATAACTTTTTAAGACCACAAATCATCATCTGATAAAGCTTGAGCTACTTCTTTGCTGTGGAGAGAGGAAAGTTTTCAGTGATTGATATTCAGTGTAGTGTACTGTAGACATTAGCTGCTGTTGGCACCCAACAAAAAGAGCTTGTGGTAAATAAATTTAAAATCCTTTCTCCCTCTAAAATTCATATAAAGACAATAATAACAACATGGACCATCCATTTACTGATTCTCTAGACTGGCCTGTTTCTATTCTGGGTCATGTCAGGACGGGACTCTAGTCTTTGACAGGTCACCAGTCCATCACAGGGCCAGCACATGAAGGTTTCAGAACACTTGACCTCAGCCTGATAATCAAACTGAATTCCCTGAAAATGATATACAACACAAATAATATTTTAATTGCTAAACAAATCAGAGATGTGGGTGGTGATCCAAAGCTGCCCCACATACTGTTCTTACTGAAGATACTGTGTAGAGAAATTACTGAAATAATATGTGAGAAACACTTGCAGGGCCACCTGCAGAGTGAATGGTTTACAAGGAAAAATGTCAAATTTTACCTGTAAGTAAACAGTGTAATAAAAAGTAAACTGTTGCACCCCAGTGTCCTGGTTTATCACAGCTGGGTTGCACAACACTTTCAGCACCAGCTCTGAAAATGCAGACCACTGGAGGAAGAGGATTGATGTTAAGTATTACAGCGATACTCAGCACACACAAGTGTAGCCACAGGTGCACTGCTTTATTTCTTCCGACCTACTTTCAATTCTTTTAAAGTGCAAGTAACCAGAAGACCTTAAGGCCTTTAATATAGTAGTGCATGTGTTTCAAAGTGCTGGTGAGGTGAGTGGTATCCAACTATCCAAAATATATGACCACTTTGAATTTCATTTTTCTAGATTTAACTGATTACAACTGTATTGCATTTCTCACTAAACTCTGTAAATTTTTCCTGGCATGCACAAAGACTGATGGACATTTACGTGACATTCTAGCACTGTAAGACACGCTGCATTTATCAAAATACCCCAGGTGTGTGCAAATGCACTTGAAGGATGTCTGTAGGTATCAGACACTGAAATTTAGTGCTTTTCAAGATTGTTTCAAGATCAAATTCAAACAAAATTTAAGACCAATTTTTTTGCAAAAATCATATTTTTATTATTGCAGCAGTACAGGAGAGGCAGGTTTTATGTAGGAACATAATTATTAATGTGATTTGGTTATCTACATTTGGCCAATGAGTATGCAAGTATAACCCTGCAAATGCAGTGTGAAGCTCAGTGATAGATGTTTTGTGAGATCAGAAGTGTGGACTTTCAGGCAGAATTAAGCTAATCATTTTTGACAAACAGAAACTAAAAGATAGATAAATTACAGAAGATGTTTGCGGCAATTTAGGCCTCAGAAATTTAATCCTCACTCACTCAATCCTTTTCAAACTAAGATATTACTGTGGTAGACAAACTTGATGCCATTGATTATAATAGAAATTGCATCATGTCAGGACAAATTCATGGCACCCTCACACATCAGTGTCCAGCAGGACTGCAGACTGATGCCCTGTGTGGTCACAGCGAAGAGCAGAATGTGCAATTTGGCTCTGGGCTTTTACTAATCCCGACAAAGCTATTATTTGTCTGCTTCTGCGATTTGAACTGCAGACACATCTCCTTTATTTAGTTTTCAATTTCCAAGAATTAGCACAGAGCGTTATACAGAGAAACTGGGTCAAAATGTGTGTATGCTAGGGACTTTGAGAGAGAGAGAGAGAGAGAGAGAGAGAGAGAGAGAGAGAGAGAGAGAGAGCAAGTGTGTCACACACCAAAAGTCACTTCCGATAACTTTGGTGCATTTTTCATCACAGATGCAACAGAAAGACAGATTAAAAAGCTTTATTCAAACTAGCATGATCAGGCAGAACATTTAAGCCAAATAAGCAACATCAAAAATTTCGACAATTAACCAGACTTGAAAATAAAGATAGACCATTCTCTCCCATACTGTCTTTGATCCACTAAGTGGGATGGGACCGGATTAGGTTTGATGCAACTCTCAAAGCATACTGTACAATCTGACTGGCAAATTAGCAAAGAGGAAAAAACTGAGCTGCGTACACAAATGAGAAAGAACACACTTTTACTATACCAAGCACAAGCACCTCTTGTGCCTTTTGATCACAGTGAATACAGAAGATATCAAAAAAGTCTACTGTATAAAAAACACAAAGTATAAAGCAGTTTAATTTACAGTAAATGCATTTACCGGCTCTTAGTAAAATGTCTGCTCTGAAACCAAAAGGCTGAGCCCATATCCAACAATGCCTTATTATTTAGGGTATTTTATCGTTGGGGTACTATAACTGTAATTTGTAATACTGTATGACATGCTGTTTTTTCACTCATCAAGAGTCACATATATCTTTTACAATGCAGAAGGCACGCAAGGAGCTCATCACATGTGCAATTCATTAATTCTTTAAACACTGTTGGAATCGACCGGTTCAGACATTTATTGTGCACATACATGTACTCCACAACAAGAGATCCCTCATTAAGTGACATCTTCGGGCTGACAGACAGGCAGCCGGCTGTGTTGATGTCTAGGAAGCCTGGTGTACAACTGAAACCAGGCAACAGCGGGAGAGGATAAGAGAGGTTAGATTTCACTGACTCAGAATATGTAGCTCAATACATCTAGAAATATTCTGTCTCCGCTGTATTTCTGAGTGAGTGCTGAGATCACATTTAGATCTAGTGCACATTTCAAAATACTGTCAGCTGCTTAATATTTCTTATGCACCATGGATGTGTTCGGCTGTTTTTTTTTACTTGCAAAGTCAGCACTGGAATACTGCAACTATAATTAACACCGTGTCCTCCTTCTCCCATCTCTTTACCTCACCCAATTATATTTGATCGTTTAGCACCCTAATAAGCTGTCCTAATGAGCTCCTTGTTTCTGAGAAATGAAAGTCCTGGGCTTCACAGTAGTGCTACGGCACTACCTCTGAGGTCAAGAAAAGTACTCTAGTTTCAGTAACTTATGTACACTATCAAAACAACATCATATGCACTAAACTACAAATATGCAACACAAAATGCCCTTGAAGAAGCTCACAAAAGCAGCATTAAAAGTTAATACATAAAATATCTATAAAAACATGAATATTCATAAAACAATACCTTGCTTGGATCTTATATTCCCTTGTACCATAGCAAATATTAATACATTTTAATATTCTCATTCTTTTCAATAAACAGAGTATTTCTCATTACAAAATATTTTTTTTAAATTTCCACTATGATTGTAATTTTTTTTTATTGATTTATATGGTTTGCACTGTGTGCAATTAATAAATGCAGTTCATATTTCAATTCCAGCTTTATCAGTGAGAATTAGGAACAATAATCGCTCGTCATCAATAAAATCTTATTACAAATAATGTTGAATTGACATTTGACTCTGTTTTGAAAAATATGGTTCATGTTTGACATGAGGCCCACTCTGGCCCCGCCCAAATCTGTTATGTCATAGTGCGTCTGAATGAAAATTTGATGTGAGAACACACCTCCCCCATGCACCCTCGCTCACTGACCTCAACAAGAGGAGACAGGCTCAAACACTGTATGCTAGTTTGAACATGACCATAGTTTAGAAAATTTAATACTGCAGTGTAATACACAACCCAGTCACCAGAATAAAGGTTGGTAAACCACAGATACATGACATCTGTATGTTATTATATAGCAAAAACATTAAAACTTAATGTTTGAACAACACTGGAGCTAACATTTGGTTAGGTTCAGGCACAAAATCACTTGGTTATGGTCAGGAAAAGATTCTGTTTTGGCTTTAAGTACCTGCTTTTTGTGGCACAATCCCTGCTTGGTTAAAAATAATTAAATAAATAAATAAAAAATTACTTTTTGTGCCACTACCGCAGCAGGAAGCGAAGCAGTGTCTCAGTTAAAAAACGACTGCTTTTTGGGCCACTATTTTAGCAGCAATGCGGCAGTATCCCTGTTGGAAAAATAGCAATAAGAAAACACCCATGTATGGTTGCTCAAAAGCCACTGGAAACACAGAAGTGACTCCCTAATACACAACTAGTTTGTTATTTGTTGGTTTTGAACAATAGTCTGCAGCTTGGCAGGTGTCTCATCTATGTAGTTCAACATCCTCTCCACCTTATGACGACAAAGTCAGCTCATACTGTATGTTCAAATGTTACATATTCATGGTTTGCACAAATGTACAATGCCAACCTTTACTTCTGGCAACTTGGGTGTTAATACAGCAAGATAACTGTGTGTTTAGTCAGATACTTTAAAACAGCACAGATGTCTATAAGGTTTGAATTGCACACCTGATGTCAGTGAGGGTGTCAAAAGTCATTTTGTTTCTCTGACCTCATTATAATTTCTATAGAACTACTGTATCAACAATCAAATAAAAAGAGAAACACTGTATCTCCTATATTTTTTTTTTTTTCAGTTTTACAGTTTTCTTTCATTCTTTTTTCATCATTTTCGCACATTCATCACTGTTGAGTACAACAAACACTGTAAAACAAAAAAAAAACTAAACTAAAATTAGATCAATTATTTTTTCTGCAAGTTACTAATTGAGAGTGTGACCCTTGCTGAACAGCAAGACTCATAATACAGTAAAAATGGTTATTCAAAAAACATAAACACCAAGTGCAAAGCCTGAATCAATGACATAACCAGCTACACTTTAGTATTACTTATGGAAGTATCATATTCACCCTGATTCATATGTGTATTTGTGAATAGGCGTGTTTTGAACTGTTGCTTAAAAAAGGTCGATGGCAGCTTACATATAGGTGACTAACTGTTGGTTTCTAAAACTACAGCACACAGCGTAAACCCTGGAGAGAAGGCAAATTTGTCCACTGAGGAGTTTCAAAGCGTTAAGGAGGGAATGATTTACTACATGAGGCAACTCTAGAAATGTCCAAATATGCTGCTATAAATGCCATAAATGATTTAAAGTCTATGTCCAAATATTTAAAACATGTTGTAGAATCATGCAGATCCATGCTTAGAAGAGAAAAGCAGGTAGAAAGCTGAGGTGATTAGTGGTCGATGATTGTACGGGGGACTGGAGGAGCTAAAGAGAAAGAATGAGTTGGAGCAGCGGGACTGAGGGAGGACAGTTGTTTTGCATCTTCTTTGTGAGTCATGGGGAAGAATTCCAGCCAGAGAATACCATGAAGAGATGATTATATCATGGCAGTTCTCTTCTGGGTTCCTGCTAAGAGAGAGAACATAGAATTAGCCGACACAGGAAGTCAACCTCGATATAAACTCATGGAAAGTCCTCACTCATGCAACAGTGGATCGTGACTGGTTACTGCCACCATCATTGACATGTCATTGGATTTCAGGGACATCTAATCAGAACCTCTGTATTTTTTTTCTTTCAAATCAGAGTTGTTGAGGATTCAGAATTTTCCCCAAATCAGCCATAGAAGTCAGACTAACATACACAGCTAAAATAAAATATGACAAAGCCATTAACTATAATAGGGAAGCAAGGCGTGTAATTAAAGCATGCACAAGCAGGCATCACAGTGTGCTATTTGGTATTTGGTGGGCCAATATTACATCTATGGAGGGAAAATATACTGAACCAAACCTAAATGCATCACTTCTGCTTTTGCTCCCATTTTAACAAGGTTAGGTTAAAGATCTAAGTCTTTTTTATGCACTCAATAGATGTATTTCTCTTAAATTCTGGTTGCAAAATCCATGTTAGCGAGCACTTGTCCTTTTCCAAGATAATATGCAGTTTGATCACACAACACAATGCCACAAGTTATAAGGGAGCATGTCATTGGCAGGAGCTGTTGTCTATGTACTGAATGTTTAATTCATGACCAAAAGCTGTCTCGAATGTCATTTCCATACTTTTTGGCAGTACATCCAATCAGCCTCATAACAGCACACCATATGTAACCACACAAGCTCAGGATCTCGACATCCTGTGTTTTCACGTGCATAATCTTCTGAGACCAGCCACCTGAACAGCTGAGCGTCTTGACCTGACAGCAGTTTGTCATCATAACTGACTTATGCCGTTGTGAGGCTGGTTGGATGTACTGTCAAATTCACTTTAAAAAAAAAACATTGGAGACGGCTTAGGGTAGTGAAATGAACATTCAGTTCACAAGCAACAACTCTGGTGGACATTCCTGCAATCAGCAGGCCAATGGCACGCTCCCTCAAAACTTGTGACATCTGTGGCATTGTGTTGTGATCACACTGCACATTTTAGAGTGGCCTTTTATTGTGACCATCCTGAGGCACAACTGTGTAGTAATGATGCTGTTAAATCAGTAGAGTCTGATATGCCACACCTGTCAGGTGGATAAATTATCTTGAAAAATGAGAAGTGCTCACTAATATGTTTTTTAAACAAATTTGTGACCAAGATTTAAGAGAAATATATTTGAGTTCATGAAAAAGTCTTAGATCTTTAACTGAAACCTGTAAAAAAAAAAAAGGGGGGCAAAAACAAAAGTGTTGTGTTTCCATTTTTGGTAGGATAGGCTCCATTTTATTATAGGACATTGCCCATTTGAAACATGCCCTTGGAGGATAGTTCGATACGGTCTGTGCTCTCAGGTATGTTACATGCTGAGAACCAATTCGGGACAATTCATAACCTGATCCCTTTTTCTATTTGTGCCATCACAAATTTGCCCTGAATCTCTGCCAAGCTCGCCAGATGTGCACAACACAGGTCTGACCAGCAGCCAATTTTATTCTAATCTCAGCTCTCAGTAAGCTGATAGGTTTTCGCACTTGAGAGACCGGCCAATTTAAATTGCACTGCTCACAGTAGCATTGCAGTGGAACAGAGTGTTGTATTTGCAGAGGGACAGTGTCTGACAGGGGACAAATGGAAATATTTGATTCTGCTCTATTTAATCAGGACAGTATGTTGACCAAAGGATTACACCAAATATTGGGAACTGTGACTGTTTATCAAAGCAGGATTTTTTAGCCAAACCAAGAATATATACCAAATAGGAAAAGGAGACAAAATGTCTACACAATTATAGTGGCTCTACAGAATGTAGTTAGCAACCAGCATACCTCCAGTTGTAGAATGGACTTCCTTTCATTTTGAGTACTTAAGAACAGAAAAAAGAGACAAGTTCAGTGGTTTGAGTGAAACTCAGACACTCACACTTACAATGCATACACAACATACATAAATCTCTCTCTCTGTCTCTCCCTCTGTCCCCCCCCCCCCCCCCCCCCCCCCCCCCCCCCCCCCCCCCCCCCCCCCCCCCCCCCCTCTCTCTGTCTCTCTCCACATGCACCTGTGCATTTATGCATATTCATGTTGTTTAATCTTTCAGCGGATCACTCAGTCTGCAGTCCAGCTGCACAAAAGCAAACAACATCTGGATCGGTTTCAGCCGTTCTACATTGATTACAGTCTGCTGTCTCTGTGCAGGAGCGCCGCTGGAGACTCCGCAGACCCCTAGCGTGATGTATCTCAGTACAGCGAGATCTCTTGTCCTTGAAGAGAACCCCTCCATGTCTGGGCTTCTTTGAAGTTTATTCCCCCCTCACACCCACTAGTTATGCTCTGATTGTGTGTTATGCATCTCCAATAAATGACCTACATACTACATAAGACATCGAACAGTGGCACATTTTCCATTTTGTGGGGGTATTTGTTTAGCCTGATTATATTGAGACAGTTTGTGCTAGATATAGGCTGATAATAAACATCAGCATGATTATATTCTTAGTTGTAATTTCTATTTTCCCAGATTTTCTTTCTGTTGCCGTTGGTGCATTACAACCCATTGTATACAGCAATATATCAGTGGAGAAAATTTTCAAAAAAATGGACCAAATAATTGCAGTATTTTTACACCCTCAACCCCAATGCATCACATTTTAATTTGACTTCTGACTACACAGAAGAACAACTTTGGTAGCACTTTAATTACATCATCTGCCTACAGGTAGTTTACAGATTGTTTAGACAGCATATTAGCTGAGATTCAAAAATTCCACTGTTTCACTTTAGTTCATATGGCAATTCACAACATATTCTCTGAATAATTAAGTTGAACTTGAACTATTCACTCCACCTTTGCTGCAAAGTTTGAGTGTGTAGTTCAAGTTCAACTAAATTACTCTGAGAATATGTAGATATGTTCATGAATACTCACATAAACTCTATTGCAACTCTGCTAAACATCTACAGAATAAAGCAAAACAGTTGGTGGACTATTCAAATAAATGACACCAAAACTTTCAACTTCATTGCTCCATTGATATCCGCCAGTGGACACTCCATACTCATAACCAAGACACAAACTGCTTTGAGTTTTCAGCTTGAATGTATTTCAAAGTAAGAGTGGAGAAAATAATCAGATCCTCGACTAAAGTAAAAGTATGGTGAAAGTATTTCGCTAAAAAATAAAGTCCTGTATTCAAAACCTTTCTGAAGTAAAAGAACATAAGTGTCAGTAGCACAAAAAGTACTTCAAAATATCAAAAATAAAAGTACTTTTACTGCAGAAAAAGTTGCCACTGTTACTGAGGCTATTATATATGACATTATCTAATATGCAGACCTATCTTAATGTTGTAGCTGGTCTAGGTGGAGCTAGTTTTAACAACTGTATATATTATATATGTATACTTTATATACAGAAGGGTGGTTTAGTCCAGTGGGTCCCAACCTAGAGTCCTTCAAATAATAAATAACAACATCATATCACCTTTTCAAGCCTCAAATAATTTTTAAACTAAACCAGCTGAGATGTTAAGAGGGAAAATGTTACAACTCATACACATCAACAGAAGTTTCAGCAGCACGCTCCAAAGGCACACTGCTTTTTTGGAAGCAACCACAAGCCAAAACGATTGGAAACCAATGACTTATGATATTTCATAAACTTATCTTGTGTTTTTGTGTAGAATTCCCCATTGGAGAATTAAACCTGTGCACAATGCGATATCAACCAAAGTGTCTCTAGGTTTAGAATAATCAATATTGTGTATGAAATAAAATAATAAGGAACATTAAAGATTGATGCCTGATACTGCAAAAATTATGCCACTGTAGGAATTATACAGTAGTAAAAGCACTTCTTTGAATCTGCAAACATTATTAACAGCATTACCAAACTGCGTGTTCAGTAAATACAACAAGACATTGGTTGGCCTTTCAGGAAATACAGCATGACATGTAAGAACTTTTTAGACCGCAGTAAGACCCTGAACACAACACTTAGTTGTCTTACCAACATGTTCTGGTTCCCTCTGTGTTGTCTGTAAGCACTCATCTACTATTTAATTTATACATACCTCCAGTGTGGATGCTCTGGAGTCTGTGGTCTCACTCGGCCCTATGCTCCTGGGTATACTGGACACAAAATACCCTGCTCCTTTGGGGATTATCGGCTGTCTCACGACCACTTTGCCCTTCCTGGTCTCTGCAAGGAACAAACTGTACCAGTAGGCATCGCTGGAGATCAGGGTGGAATCTGCGATGGTGGAGCTTCTCTGGCTGATCACGCTGTTCCTGCTGATCACACTGTTTCTGTTGGCTGGGGGGATCTTGATGGCCTTTGGCTTTGGTTTTTGACACTTCAGCACAATAATAACCAAGATGGTTATCAGGAGCAGGAATGACACAGCCCCTAAACCGATGACTAAGTACAGGTTCAGGTCTGTGAAGACGTCATACTCTAGCGGCAGCTCTGTGGTCTCTGAAAAGGACATGACATGTTCCACTGTTGATATCTTGATGGTGACAGTGGCAGATAGAGCAGGCTGGCCATTGTCTTTGGCCACAATCACCAGCCGCTGTTGTCTTGGGTCTCTGTAACTGAACATCCTTGTCGTCCGGATTTCACCGTTGTACTGATCCAGGCTGAAGAGGGTTGAGTCGCTGATCTGCAAGAGCTGATACGTGACCCTGGCTTTCTGCTCTGAATCTGCATCGATGGCGATCACCTTGGCAATCAAGTGCCCCTTATCCGTAGACCTTGGTATCACCTCCTCTACCACGGAGCCCTGCGCCCGCCAAGGTGACACAATGAGAGGAGTGTTGTCATTTTGGTCCAGGATGATGATGTGAACTGTCACGTTGCTGCTCAGCGGGGGAACACCAGAGTCTCTCGCCTCGATGTGGAAAAGGAAATCCCTCTCTCTCTCATAGTCAAAGGTCTTCAGGGCATAGAGATCACCATTCTCAGGGTTGATGGAGAACAGCATTGACATAGACGTGTTAACAATCTCCTTCTCCATTATGAAATAAACCAAGTACTGGTTCTCATTGAGATCTGGGTCAAACGCACTAAGAGATGTCAATAATGCCCCTGGGAGATTATTCTCCACCACATGGATTGTGTAGAAGGACTGGGGGAACGTGGGTGCATTGTCATTGACATCCAGAATCTCTAAAGTGATGGTTTCGTTTTCAGATAGGGGCGGTGACCCTTTGTCTGTCACCCTCAGTGTGATGTCATATTTGCTTATTATCTCTCTATCCAGTGGCTTTGAAACCAGCAGCTCAAAGTAACCCTCTGAGGATTTGTTTAGCCGGAAAGGCAAAGATTCTTGGCGGTTCAAAGTGAGCTCTACTTGCCCGTTGACACCAGAGTCCCTGTCGCTGACGCTGACCACAGCAATCAGCGTCCCCACAGAGGCATCCTCTGTCAGTGCACTTTTCACAGACTTGATGGTCACTTCGGGGTAGTTATCATTCAGATCTGTGACGTACACAGTGACTTTACAGTGTCCAGACTTCGGGTTGGCCCCTCTGTCCTGAGCCTGTATGTGCATCTCAAATCTCTGACTCTCCTCATAGTCGATCACCCCCTTCACCTTGATCTCACCTGAGCTTGGATCAAGTGAGAAAAGCTCTTGAGTCTTCTCTGAGGTGTACAGCGTGTATGAATATATCAACTGAGCATTCGTGCCTTCATCCAAGTCTGTTGCGTTTAAGGTCATGACCACTGTCCCTGCAGCCGAGTTCTCTGAGACGTTGACTGCATAAACCGGCTGACTGAACTGGGGGGCGTTGTCATTGATATCCAAGACATTAATAACGATGCTGGCTGTGCCGGAGCGGGGAGGCACCCCTCCATCCACAGCGGTTAAAATCAAATTATGGATTGAATGCTCCTCCCGGTCCAATTGACCGTTCAGTACTAAATCGACATATTTGGAGCCATCGCTGCCAGTTTGTATATCAATGTTGAAGTATTTGCTTTCGCTGAGATAGTACGTCTTGATAGAGTTTGCCCCCACATCCGCATCCACAGCATTTGTCAATGAAAATCTCTCACCGGGAGGGGTTGCCTCCGATATGTCCAAATGCATTGTCTTTCTGCGGAACACGGGCGCGTTGTCATTGATGTCCATGATCTCTAACTCGATATTAAAAATGCGAATGGGGTTTTCAAGTATGACATCCATTTTCAGAAAGCACGAGGTTGTTTTAGTCATGCATATGCTCTCCCGGTCTATCTTCTCGCGGATTACCAGCTCCCCTGTTTCTTTGTTAATGTCAAGGTAATTTTTACTGTGAATGACATCGAGCTTGGCTCTGCGCTCCACCAAACTGCGAACATCCAGACCCAAATCTGTGGCCAGATTGGCAACAAAGGAGCCCTCTTCCATCTCCTCCGGAATAGAGTACCGAGTGATGGAGAGCGCACATCCCCATAGTGCAATGAATGTGAAAACAGCCGCGATAAAACGTGTCCGTAAGGGTGCAATTACAAGCATCATCATTGTGGTATTTAATAATAGAAATTAAAACAGATCCGTCCTTACGATCAGGTTGTCTTGATGCAGGGGAGCGCCGGTGTCATTCTTGCCTCCACCAGTTGTAGCTGGAGCTGCAGTAGGCCATGCACGGTGCATTACCGCTGGAGGAGCGGGGCTCACACGGCAATGCTCTGCAGGGGCGGAGGCAGCGTCTGTGTGGCCTGCTCCGGGGGGCTCACTGAGATTAAGGGGTGCACACAGACTGATACTTGAATTTCTAAAACTTAAGTATAGATTTTTTTTCTATTCAGAATTTTGTGCTGCAACTTGAATTCTATGCTCATTTAAAATATAAAAAAAACAACAGTTGGATGTAATGACAAAGTCGCCCAATTTCAAAGTTAATATTATTTGAGGAAATGTCTAATTATACAACTCATGCTTACAAAGTGATGTTCCCATGTCGTTCACCTGGCACGTTTAAGTTATCTCATTCATGAGACAGATGTGGTTAAAAAATGTATTTGCCAGTCATAATTAGAAGACTTTCAATGAACATTCTCCACACATTTTGTAAAGTTATGTTGAAATTTAAAAAAAAAAAAAAAAGAAAAGTAGGGAATGCAAATGCTACATAAAAGTATTTGCTGAACATAGCAATTTTAGATTGTTATTTTCTTGAATTATTTAATTCTGAAAAACAAAATAAGATATTACCAAATGGAAAATATGAGAGAAACATGTAAGGAAGCCATGTAAGGCTCTTTGTTTTTTGTTGTTGTTTTGTTTTGTTTTGTTTTTTGGTGGGTATGTTGCATCATTCATATCTGTCTCTATCCCTTTGGTGGATACTGCTAATATTGTAATGCAATATGTCATAGACACTCAGATAATAGTTAGAAAAATGATATCACTTTGTATCTCATTCTGCATTTAAGATATGGTCTTTATCAAAATGTTTTAAGCAGAAGGTTGTGTTTGCATCCCATCACCTCTGTCTTAAAGGATATTTCTCACTCAGTCTGACCTCACCAAACAAACAGATAATATGCATGAAACTGTTTTAAAATACACCTGAATATATATCCTGCAATAAGAAACTGTATCCCTACATTTTTCTTTGGAGTGACCTACAGTTTAAAGCTTTATATTGGAATTACGACCATTGCTCACTGACCACATATTTTACTTCCTGTTATTATTGTGCTTGCTGCTTTAATTAAATGTGTTTGGTTTCCCCAACTAAAGGGGTTGTATACTGACATCATGGGCAGTAAGAGGAGGATGGTCCTAAATATGGTCTCCTTGAGCTCCATCTGGTGACAATTTAAAGAATTACAGGAGGACACCCACCTACTCACACACTCACACATAGATACTATCTTATACTTAAATGCATTTAAAGTTTTTTTTTAAAGTTTTTTCTACTAATTTACCTTTTCACTGTAAGTCCTTCTGTTTCATGTGTGCATTCAAAATATATCTGTGTTGCACTAACTGTGTGTATCTAAATTATATGATGATTAAATATGGAAAAGACACACACGCAAGTCATATGTGTTGAGATCGTTTGAAGGTTTCTCATATTAAAGAACGACCCAGTGGCCCATTTTGCACATGGTTCATGTATGTGAGTAAAGGAAAAATGCTTATTCAAATAGATAAATTTAGATACATGGATAAATTTCATATGCAATTTTAAAATCAACTTTTTTGTTGTAATGATTAAAGTTGAATTTAAGGGGCACTTTGCCTATTTTTAAAATTCATACATATTATTCCTACACTTTAAGAAATGAGTTGGTCTTTTTTGTCAGGTTTACGTATTTCAATGAATATAAAAATTATGCATCCAATTGAGTCAAGTACTTCTAAAGTAAATCAAAAAAGTACGATTTATGTTATTAAATCAATAAAACTATGAAAATCTATGTTACTATAGCTCATAGAATGTACCCTTTTCACTTTAATAAACTTTCACTTTAAATATGATGTCTACAACAAGCTCAAAAAAGTTGGGGCAGGAGCATGTTTATCACTGTGTGACATCACCTTTTCTTTTAATAACATGTAAGTAGTGTTTGGGAACCAAGGACACTAACAAAGACAGTTTTCCAGAGATTACAGACTAAAATACATCAATATAATATACTTGCTGAAGAGATCATCATATCACCGCTTCTTCTTGAGAAGGTTTCTGCCTTCTACTTAAAGCCTTCAGAATTCTTTTCCTTGTGCTGGCTTATCTTCAACATTCATAACAGCTCTTAAACTAAATGTACGTGTCTTTTGTTTATATATTCTTTGATGAGTGTCCATGGTCCATCCAAACCATCTCTATAAAGCCCCAGAAGGGCTGAGGCTGCACTCTTTCACATCCTTGCTCAATCTACAACTTCAGTTGCTTACCAATCCAGAGCCTCCATTGCTGCATTTTGCACTTCATAATGTGCCACAAATTTGTGGTGGGAGACTGGACTGCAAACAGGTCAGTATGGCACTCTTTCACTACAAAGCCACCCTGCTGTAACACATGCAGAATGTGGCTTGGGATGTCCCTGAAAAAGATGTTGTCTGGATGGCAGCATATGTTGCTCCAAAACCTGTATGTACATTGCAGCATTAATGGAGCCTCCACAGATGTGTGGTTACCCATGATGCCATGGGCACTTAGGATCTCCCATTTTATCAAAGATGCTGGTTTTTTAATTTTAGAGCTGGTAGCAATCTGGATTGACCTTTTCCTCTTTAACGCAGACAACACAAATGTGTACTCATCAGACCACAGCACGCTTTTCCACTTTGTGTCCGTCCAGAGAGGTTTTTTTTTTGCTTTTTTATAATGTATGGCAGGCATCATATTTTACAAAAAACAATTAGGTTTATCAGTTTGAACATTAAATATTTTGTCTTTGTTCTGTATTCATTTGAATATAGGTCAAAAAGGATTTACAAATCATTGCATTCTGTTTTATTTATGTTTAAGACAGTGTCCCAACTTTTTTGGAATTAGAGTTGTATTTCGTGAGGCCGTTCTCACCCAGCTGCTAACTAAATGTAGGATATAGGAGTCATGGCCATACCAGGTGTCACGTACTTATTATAGAAGCAATGCCACCTGCCCACTGCCTAACAGTGTGTAGAGTAGTGGAGAGGACAAGCTTGAACTCCTGGCACGCATGAGGCATGAAAATAGCCAATTTAATCTGGTTTTGCATGTACTGACCGTACCATATATATGACTATATGTAGCAATTCCACCATGTTAAATGATAGTCAAGTCTGATCCTAAACCTTTTTTGTCAGACTCCTTTAAATAAATGGGATGATTTTCTTTAAACATATGCAAATGCACAAGTTATCAGATGAAGAGTAAAAGAAGAGAGAATTACTGTTTAGCTCGAATATGGAAATAAAATGATGAATTCCAACATAGTGCACACACTAGTCTCTTTAAATAGGTATATGTGAGGGAAAGGCGCCCTCTAGTGGACGAAAAGGGGAGAAACCAGAGTTGTGGGAGTTGGTGACTGCTGGAAGAGAGAGAGAGATGTGAAGAGAAATAAAGCAACACAGATTGGGCTCTGAACAGATTTTACATGGCACAGAAGCAAGACATATGCAATGTGTCTCTGTTCATTGCACAAGGGACATATTGTGAAGGCGAAGCCTGGCTGTTTTTGGTATTGGTTGTGATACAGTCAAAGATAAGTCTTGGCTTGGTTATCTGTAATTATTGGCAGGATATAGTTGTGGGCCTATCTGGATTTGTTTCTTAAATCCTAGTCTTAAATGATGGAGCTATATATTCATTTTTTTGTCAGACTTTTTTTTCTGACTCCATGTTCAGAGTTCAAAATGAATCTGAAAATGGCCCTTGGCACTCGGATTTTTGAACATGAAGCAGTTCACTGAGGCAGTCAGGCCCAAGATTAACCCTTCGGACTGCAATAGCCCAGTTAGAGGTGATGGATCTTGAGGATTATCTCCAGAGTGGTAGTTGAAATGCTGGGTTTGCTGACCAGAATATCAAGAGCAAAGGTTAAATGACACCCAGAACTATAAGTCACAACCGCTTCTTCTTCCATAGGCTTCATGTACACTGGTGTGCCTGTCATAGAGCAAGGATCCAAAGCTTGAGCTCTTGCCTTTAACTTAAAGATTTAGTGAGGTTGGCTGAAATAACTATGCTTGATTGCATCTCAGCATGGGGGAAAATGGTTCGAATTGTGCAGTGGCGTTCATAGTTGGTGTCCCAAAAAGATGTGACTCCATGGTTCACACCGCTGACCCCTCTGGAGACGAAACTCAATATCAACATCTTGGCACAAAATGAATGAATTTGTAAAGAGCTCTTTCATAGAAAGGTCAGGGCAAGCCAGATTAGCAGCAGTGTTGCCAGTTCTGCCCTGAGCTTGTTTCAGGGAGGCACTTTTGAAGCCAGTTAGCTAATCGTGCAGCTGCCACATTTTATTCCACACTCTCAGTGCCATGAGATAATATTCAATCATATTGATCAGTGCAAAACTACCATAATTGTAATTTTAACTGTAATTAACATTGTCTGTGTGCTGCCTTCCCTGTTCCACCAGGGATAGTGCAAACATCGCTGTGCTTTCTGCCCAGATAGTGCCATGAAAAGGGCATGTTTATCCTCAGACACATCGCTGTGTTTCCACCTGAGATAGTGCCTTGAAAAGCATTTGTTTTTCTATCAAGACATCGCTACATTTGCTGCTGGGATCATGCCACAAAAAGCATTTGTTTTTTACCTAAACATTACTGTACTTTGTGCTGGGATGTTGCCATGAAAAGTGCTTGTTTTTTTTTTACCAAGACATTGCTGCATTTTTGGCTGGAAAAGTGCCACAAAGTGTGTTTGATTGTTACAGAGACATCACTGTGCTTCCTGCCCAGACAGTGACAGACAGCGAGTATTCATGTTTTCGCCAGACATCACTACGTCTCCTGCTGGATAATGCCACGAAAATCATGTGTGTTTTCCATTGACATAACTAAGTTCCCTGCTGGGATAGTTTCACGAAAAGCTTTTGTGTTTTACCTAAACATCGCTGCACTTCCAGCTGGGATAGTGCCAGGAAAAGCATTTGGTTTTTTTTTATAAAGACATGGCTGCATTTGCTGCCAGTGTCATGCCACAAAAGGCATTTGTGTTTTACCTGGACATCACCGC